TTTCGGATCGACCCAATCCATTTCCACGCCCACTTCTCTGCGAGCGAACGGCCACGGCCAATCAGATCGCAGGAAAGTGGTGCGATTGTTCCTTCGGCCGACAGATTCCTTCTGTCGCCGTTCCAGCAGAATTGTTCTGCCCATTTTAATTATATCTTTTAAATTTAATTTTAAGTAATCCCATTAATTCGGCCCTTAATTCTAAAATTCTGATGAGGAGGTACGTCCCGTTCCGGGACAGGCACTCCGTAAGTTACATGCCACTTGCCACTTTGTTGCCAGATTCAGAGAGGTTTGAATATTAAATACAAGATTGATTGATTGATTGAATATTAACGTCGCACTGTTCAGCTACACGAGGGCTTTTGGCGACGGACCACGCAATTTTGAACCATGGTCAAGTGACGTGGACGACATCTGAGCTGGCACCCCCCTTTCCTAACTACCACACCACACCAACGGGAAAACGTTTCATCTCTCGACAGATTTAACGTGCATCGCTGCCCTACACGATATACACTATTATACTCCCTAATTTGCAGAAAGTCTAAATTAAGTAGACATAACAAACTGCTTATCTACACTCTGATCCTAAAACCTTTACTTACCTACGCCTCCCCCGTGTGGGGACATGCAGCAAAAACGAATATTAATTTACTAGAAACCTCGCAAAATGTAATCATCAGACAAATTTGTAATGCTCATTGGTACATGAGAAATAAAGATTTAAGAATAGCTTGTAATGTACCTACTCTAAGAAAAACTTTCAGAAAATTAGCCATTAACTTTTTCAAGAATATAGATGAATCTGACAATGCATCTATAAATAGTATTACCCCATATTTTCCCCACTTTTCTGTTAAACGGCCAAGAGACATCTTGGTCAATCCTGATTTTGATTAACTCCTTTTTATTTCCTTAAATTTAAACTGTTTTATTTCATAACTTATATTAAATCTCATTTCCCGGCCTACGGTCCAACTTTGTTGAACTTCAGGCACGCTCTGATTGGCTACTTAAATTAGATGGAACGCGGGCGACGGCGCGACAGCGCCTATACCCAGAAGGATGGGTGAAATAGAAAAACCATATGAATGAAAATGGATCTAATCAAGAATACTCCCCGGCAGAACGGGGAGGGAGGACGTTCCCCGAAACTCGAAACGCTCTATCGAAGCAGAGCGCCGGCGGGGGGAGGGGAAGAACGCAGGAAGGCAGTCGGGACGGCTGAAAGCAGTAAATCAAAGCACTGACTAAGCACACAAGAACCCAGTATCAAAAGATGCAGTGCAGGGCAGCGAAGGAAATGTTGTAATCAGAGTGTGAAAACGTGTTTTTGTCGTATTTTGTGTTTGTGCGGTCACTCGCGTGACAAATGTAGATCGGAATGCTAATAGAGTCCAAAAAGGACGAAAAGCGTTTCTGCATTCCCGATTGCGTCGGGGTCGATAGGAGTACAAATAATAAAATATTTACTGAATAAATTAACAAAAATATTAGCATTCCAGCTAAAAAACCTGAGAGAATTATTTAAACTAAAACAGATGAATTTTAATTTAGAGTTTAGATTGTAGTAAGGACAGCATATCTCCCCACTGAGACATCATCTGGGCCATTTTTGTTATCACTTCTTTGGCATCCAGTGAGTTGTTTTTTGATCCTTTAACAACTTCCGCAAAGGAAGGTTTAGAATGATTGGAATTTTGCTTGCGCGCAGCCGCACGCTCTTGCCAGACGTTTTTCGCCGCTTTTGATTTTGTTGTTTTGGTGTTGATGGGGTTTTTGGGGCAACCCGAGAAGTTTGCAGGGTGCGGTCCGCTGCAATTGGCACACTTAGCCGGGGCCTTGGCTGACTTGGTGCATTCAGAGGTGAGATGGCCTCCTGAGCATTTCAAACACTTCGGTGCTCTAGTGCAAAACCGAGAGTGATGAAAGAATTCTTGGCATCTATAGCACTGTGGGGGCAAGGTGGATTTATTGAGCGGCTCAACCGAAACTCTAAAAAATCCAATGTTTTTTATGTTGAAAATACCCTTATTTTCAGGGTTTCTTACGAGGGTTACCAAATATAGAGGCATGTTGGTGTTAGTTTTCCTGTTTCTCAACAAGGAAATATGATTGGGCTTAAAGCCAAGTGTATGCAACTCTGACATGAGTTCTTCCTGATTGTAGTCTGTGGGTAACCCTCTCAGAACAACTTTAAGTTGTTTATTGTGGGCCATCTCGAAAGTGTGTGACCGCATTTTTTTGTCCGAGACAAACTTTTGAATAATACGGGGCTCTTCGGCAGAAGTTGGGAAGACTCGGAGCTTCCCGTTCTCAAAGCGCCCCTGTAGTGATGTATTACTACACAAGTTCCCTATCTGTGTAAGGAGCTCGGTTGCATTGCTCTGTGCATCAATCACAATGGGAGCAATGCGTTTTCCATTACGGCCTACCGTAGTAAAGCCGTCATCTTTCTTACTCGATTCGGGAGCGCTAGCGCTCTCGGCGGCTTCCGCCGCCGGGCTGCTTTGCGCGATCACCGACTTAGCTGTTTTAGCTGAATTTAACTCTACCGAGCTCTCTTCGGCTGACGATTCCCCTTCCTCCATAGAAGACGAGTCTTCGATATGGCGAGGGGAGGTGGAAGTGCGTGGGAGCTTTCGCTCCGACTTTGCCTGCTTCTTCGACGGAACGTCTTTCTGCGGCGATGCGGGCTGGCGTTTCGCTAGCGGCCGCTTCTGCTGCGAAGCGGGTGAGGCTGCAGTGGGGGTGCGGCGAGAAAGCTCAACCTCCCTAATGTATTTTTTAAACTCCGCATTTTGGAGCCTAATTGACCTTCGTGAGTATAACTCCGCCTACTTTTTCAACTTCTTACACTGATTTTTCTAAGTTCACTGTTTTTTCTAAGTTTTTAAAGTTAAATTTTTAATAGTTTTTGAAACCTCACATCCAAGTAACTTATATTTTCATAATCTACAGAACTTATTTTACTATATAATGATCATTTTCCTAAAACTGGGCATTGGTAGAATTCATTAAAGGCATCTCAAATTACCTGATAGGAGATTAGGGGCCGACAGGCCTAGGTGCTCCAAATAAGTCCGTCAACGATCATCAAAACCCCACTTTCGCCAAGCCCCATCCAAGTTATCACGACAAGGGATTGAGGACTGTGTTACAGTCCAGACGCCCAAAAGACAACGTCTATAAACCTTTAAGTTCGTGAGGAGTATCACTGGATTCAATAAACAACATTTCGATTTAAGTCCTAATTTCTTTTATGCTAATTTTTTATTTTATTTTAAAGCTCTCAATTTTATACCCGGCGTATAACGCGCACCGGTAAATTTCGATTTTATTTTTTATGTTAAAAGTGCGCGTTATATGCCGGATTTTACGGTATATACATGTTTACATTAATTGTAACTATTTAATAAAAAGTAAGTAAAATAAAATGTTTCTTTGTTGACCTAAGTAGAAATTGACTTAATTTTTTTTGTATTACTTCTTCAGTTTTAAAACGTGTTCAAAATAATTTAAGACGTATTATGGAAAGAAAGACAAATTGAACAACATGGCCATATTATATACAGAACAAAATGTTTGGGACCAAATAGATATGGTAAAAGTAATTGATAAATTTGCCAAAAAGAAATCAAGTTGTAAAGCAAAACTGTTAACTCTTTAGTAAGGTTTTTAATTTTTTTTTATATACAGTTAAGATTTTTCTTTAGCCCTTTGAGTTTTATTATTATCAACACACTTTATTCTGAGAATTTAAAGTAAGCGACGCTTTTTTAACTATTTTATTTTTTCTACTCTTGAGTCCATTGGTCTCGAACCTTTTACCGCTAGGGCCTCCAACTACCTTAATCCGCTTTGACAGCCCATGTTAGTATGTTTGTGAATTACGCTTGATGTAGCTATCAGTTAATAAATATTTGTCAAAAAATCAGTGGTTTCCCAAAATCAAGATGAAAACTGCTTGGCACTTAATATAGCTGTTCGAAATTTAAATATTACAGCTTAAGGGGTTCACCCATGTGATGGTTTCAAAAAATAAAAATAAATTTTTTTGTTCGTAAATTGCTTTCTTAACATGTCTAGAATACGGTGGTAAAGTGATTTTTAAAATTCGAAGTCGTTATAAAGAAGCAGGTATTAGAAGAGCAGCTGTTCCTAGCGCTAAGATTTTCATTGTTTTAATCAGATTTGAAACTTTTTTAACGCGTTTTTCTCAAAACTGTGTTTTTCAAACTTTCCTCCATCATATCTCAAGAACAGTTAGATCGAATGATTTCAAATTTATAGGGTAGACTCAGCACATATATACGCACAAAATGAACAACGATCATTCCAAAAATCAAAATATTTCTATTTTTTTATAACAAAACGATAACAAAAAAAACCCATGAAATTCGAAACTTTTTCTTCAGAAGTCTACCAAAAATCCAATTTTTGATATTTTCAATTAAGTGTAGTTCATTTGGTGCATTCTAGCTAATAGATTAAAACGCCGTTAATTTTTTTAAATTTCAGATAAGCTAAACAGCCGGAATCGTGGAGTAAGTGAATGTCCAATTTTTCGAGGCGGGTGTGTTCCGAGCGCTATAACTCACGTTCTATTGGATATTTTTGGCTAAGCATTTGTATATTAAATAAATGATAAAAAAAACTTAAGTTTTATCTTTTTAATGGACGCCCCCCTCCCCCCAAAAAAATCCCTAAGAATGCATAAAAAACAGGCCGTCACATGGGTGAACATGGAATTTAAGAACTATACGGACAATTTATTATTATTTTTTCTTGTTGTTGTCGTGTGTTTATTACCGGGATACATACGAAAGACGTGAGATAGATGAACAGGAACATATAACACAACCATAGAAGAACACAGATTTTATTACAAACGATGATCCCAGCATATAACAAGAAAAGGTGCGCTGCTGTTCCTTTCGAGACGGGAATCCATTTCAGGCGAAAGACCGACTTCTTTCCCGAAGAAGATACAACCAAGTCTTACTCGGGATTCGAACCCGAACCCATTCGGTTACAAGCCGAAGGTCAAAGCCACCAAACTGGTTGGGCGACATTATTTTTTCTTAAAATATGCATTTGAAGATTTACAAAGTATACGCAATTTATATGATTTTTCTTTTAAAATAAACAAAACTACCACAATGAAATTTCTTACCTTGGTGTGTTGAGCCGAAGGTAGTGGAAGAAAAATTCTGAAAGAATTATTATTATATATCTTTCAGAATTAGATGGAGAAAATTACTCTTGAAACGTTACAAAAATGTTTTGTATAAGATATATACTCGGAAAAACTGGAACAATATAAAAGCTTTAGCTATCTAGGAAAATACAACACACACAAAGCTAAATTATTTTGCTATTTAAATTAAAATGAAAACTATATCACATTAATAAGAATGAAAATACTTAAATAAGAAAATAAAGAAGGAAAAAAAACACCTTAGATTACATTTCATTTTCTATTAAATATTCCTAGTAATACACGTACAAAGGTTTTCTCGAGTTAAAAAACTTGCAAGGTAAACATTTATAGAAATGTCATGAATATTAAGTTTCTAATAGCTATGAGAGCGTAAAATATTAAAATCCTACTGAACAGAAGCTGCTGCTAAACATTAAAAATAATAAAAAAAAAACTAAAGTTTTTTTTTTTTATGAATATAAATATGATCCTAAATAAACACTTTGAGGGAAATCCTTTTTACGGTATTCATATACATAAAGCAGAGTATGAATATACAAATGTAATATCAAATGTCTACTTGCGTGAACATCTGGTTGCAACTGTAAGAATTTTCAAAGGAGTGAATACTTATGTGTTTTCAACAAACTGTTTTATGAGAAAAACGATTGTACTACTGAAATCCCAAAAGCGAATTACTATGGCTAATAGATGACTTAATGGAATACGAAAAAATATATGAAATCAAATTTAATCAAAAGAAAAACAGAGGTTCTATTGTATAAAATACTTTAAGAACAGTATTAACTTATGCATGTGAAACTTGGTACATAGTATCTTGAACATAAGTATCAACAAAAGGAAGATTTTAAGATTCCTTTTTGGAGGAATTCAGGAAAATGGAACATAACGAAGATCAAATTTACAGCTTTATCAATCATATAAAGAATGTGACATTGTTAACTTCATCAAAATACAACGAATTAAATGGGCAAGTCACATTATCAGAATGAACGAAGACTACACCCCTGAAAAGGTCGGCAATACTAAAACCAATTGCCGCACGAAGAAGGGGCAGGCCAAATCTTAGATGGATTGATGGTCCAGAAAAATATCTCCTAGTTTTCAGAACTAGGCATTGGAGAACACTAACAAGAAAAAGGCTGGTCTGGAAAAGGCTTCTTGAGAAGGCCAAGGCCCACCCTGGGCTGTCGTGCCACTGAGGAAGGAAGGTAATACGAGAATCCTTTTTGCAAATGTTACCAGATATAAGGATTTCTTCTCCAATGGATAGGCAAATGCCTTACTAAATTACTATTTAGAGAGAGAGAGTGCTTTGTCGCTGATTTTACAGACATAAGACTACTGTAGTATAAATACGCAAATGTGATGCTAAATGTATATATACACAACCCCTCTGAAAGTATTTGCTGCATATTTCACAGACATAAACATTTTTTTTTAGTATGAATGCATTAATGTTCACTTACTTTTTTGAGAGGATGTCTTGTTGTAGATATCATAAGCAGGTTTTCCTTAGTGTGCACATATAAATGAATTTTCAAATTCTCTTTGTGGGAGAAAGCCTTCTCACAAACATAATTTCCTTTGCTGACATAAGGAGGAAAAGGAGTAAAATTCTATTATATTCCCCCCACTGAAAGAGATTTTTTTTTTCAAAACAAGCCAAAATGGCAAAAAGGTTCGTTTTTCAAAGTCGATACTGGTGAAATTGGGAAAAACAAGGTATTTGACTTTTAAGATGCGAAAGTGAAAATTTTTATGAATATAAGAACACATTTATGTAAATTAGTTTTCTGAAAGTAGGACATTATAGGCATTTTGAAAATAATAAATTGATGTTCGCAGAACTAAAATTCAAATATATAAAACTTACGGAAAGATTCCCCGAAAACTTTAGCTTAAAAAAAAAAGGAAATTAAGAACATTCTAAAGAGTAAAAAAAATAATGCTCTAAGGAGAAAATTTTAACTCTAAGAACAAACGTGTAAAGTTTAATTTCTTAAAAAATGTATTAAAAACGTTCTAAAATTACCCAAATGACTTTTTTCTGAATCATGTATCATTCCTTATATGCTCCTACTCACATACGGATACTCACCTACTTTCAAACAAAATCTCTATTCATATAATCATCAATTACTTTTTTCTTTCTCATAGAGGCAAACTGCTTCCTCTTTTCAATAATTTTACTCCTTCCCCTTTTTGTACAAATAAAAAAAGAATTTGAATGTGTGCGAAGTAAAAAAAAAAGCCGAAGGATCAATACAGCTGAAATCATGTGAGAGGATTATTTGTATTTCGAAAGGAGTTTTTCAAAATTAATTTTAGATTTTTTGTAAAATTTAATATCGATATGAGATATTCTACATAATTATATGACATCACGTCCATGTCTGAATGTGAAAAATTATTATCCATAAAGTTTGGGGGCATCGTTTCATATTTTTTGAAGTGATAACTTCTATTGGCGCGTTTTGCCGGAGAGTGAACTTGAATGAGCGTCACGCTCGGGTATGTAACGCTTCTTCGGCTTTTTCCGTTTCGAGTCGGAAATCCTGCTCGTACAAGGTCGTCCACACCGCTAAAAAGAAAATGAGGGACGTTTTCCCTCTCCTCTGAAAAGTGGTAGTTTGTCCCCCTACCAATACGCCCTTCGATCTAAGTGGATTCCCCCTCCCCCTTCATCACCTCTTTCTACGAAAATGATCATAGCCATGAAAATGAAGCATGTAATATTTTTTAAAAAATAGGCTTAGAGAGAGAAATCCTAAAATTAAACAAAATGTAGAAAATGGACAGATTTTTATAGATCTAAGTAAATAATATAATTATCATTAGCAATACTGCAATGAATTTAAGAATAAAAATCTATTTTTGTAAGCGAATCAGAATAGCAATGAACAAATAGTTCTATTAATCACATTACTTAAATATACTTTGAGTCTAAAAAAAAAAAAAAACTTAAAACAATTAAAAATTTAAAATAACAAAATTAAGTATACAGGTATTAAGAAAAAGTTACATTAAATCATTTAAATACAAGAAAACCAAATATAATTAAAAAAGACTTATCTTGCAGCATCACCGGATATACTTGTACAAAACTTCCATACAATGACAAAAGACCTAGTATAGTAAATCTTCTGATTAAAACCTTTTTAAAGGTTTTGACCTAGATTCTTCTCTTCCCAATCAACTACCTGTCTTACTATCCATTTGCTTAAATTAATTCATGGATAGAATTGAATATTGTTAAATTACAACCGAAATTCACAAAGCCGGATTGGGTCTTCTGAACAAATTACCTATGATTTTAAGTGGGAAATTTAAAGTGGATTTTTCAAAAGACAAATCAAAGCCTTTAGTTGATTTTTTTAAAATCAAAACTTAATTTAATTACGTCAAATTATCCATATGAAAGCATGAGGAAGTCGGAACAATGCTTGACGGAGTTTTTTTTTTATAGATGCTTAAATAAAATTTTGTATTTAAAGTATTTATAACCTATTTCATCTACCATAAACCTATTGTTTCCTTCTTAGAATAAAATTAATTCACAAATATGATTGTACATTTCACACAAAAATATTACTTTATTTATTCATATGTCTGTACTCATAATTTTATAGGACAACACTAATATCGCCTTGCTTTTTTCACCGAACTAATCCCTGAAATAGCATTACAAAATTTGAAATTATCACTTTTATCCTGTGTGTATAAGCACACACATACCTTTTTTTCGTTTATGTATAACTAGCTGGTATACCCGTTCTTCGCACGGGTGAACTGAAAAATTAAACAACACAGATTGAAGAATAAAGAAGTTTTTAATGAGTTAAATTTACGAGAATTTCAAATTAAACAAAAAAAAGCTTATTACATATCTCAGATAAACACACACACACAAAAAAAAAACCTTTGTTAAATTTTAAGTATGTAAATCTAATAGCTGATAAAAAAGGATTTTTTTTTTATTTATAATTCCCCGTAACACTTTTGAGGGTCTATTTTTGAAAATACCTCCCTAAGCTGATCTCTGCTCAGCAAAAGTAACACATTGTTAAAAGTTTTGCGTAATGAATGCTTAAAATAGTGCAAATAGTTTATATCTGAAAGTGTAATACATTAATATTAGTTTCTGTTGTATTTATTTTATATTAAAATTATAATATTCGCAAGCAACGCCGTTTCTTAAATTATAATGGCGATTCAATGAAAAGCACAGCGAAATGATAACGATAGAGTCAAGTTGGCAAATGTCTAGCTACTTTCATAGCTTGAGCTTTATTAGACCTTGTAAGACCCGCCGTGTAGGGTTGCGATACACGTTACTACCGTATTATGATTTACTGTAGTTTTTTTCATACATTTTTTTTTGGATCACTAGTTGAAAAATAAGGGATATACATAAACGAAATACTCCACTTTGGGAAATTTAATCCATTAGAGATAATAAATTAATTACTGATATTCCACTGTAAAATTAATTATATACACCGTTCACTTAAAATAAATAGTCAAATCGTTTTCTAAGGTCTTCATTAACATACAAAAAAATAAGACACTTAAATTTTGACATAAACTATTTTTTCGGTTTAAAAAAATAATAATCTTTGCAATCCGCTGAAAACGCACATCTGCTGCAAAACTGTTCGCCTTCCCCGCTAAAATACTCATCATAGAACCCGTGCTGTCATATATCTTGGAAGAGTGGATTTCAAAGAATATTCCTGCTAAGTATTGGTAGAATATTCCTTCTGATTTGGTGTGGTGTGGTAGTTAGGAGAAGGGGTGCCAGCTCAGGTGTCGTCCACGTCACTTGACCATGATTCAAAATTAC